ATGGTCTCAGTCCTCACAGTCTGGAAGTTGTTTCCGGTGTCAGTCAATATGTCACACCGTGACCCAGTAATGGCTTGAGTCTGTCTTGGAGGAAGGTTGGCTGGCTGCTCACAGTAGGGAGGAAAATGTCCTTGAGCGAGTTTGGAGCGTTCTCAGCTAGTGGTAGTGAGAAGAGGGAGATTTGTTTCCTAAAGAATCCTGGGGCAGCCACCGAAGTGGGCAGTTACATGAATTTATGCCCTTAAAGGAACACTCCAGCCTAGAAGAGATCTTTGCAGGGGCGGGGGGTTGCCATGAAGAATTCACTTCATTACTACACTCTCCCCAACGGTAGGCCCCTTCAGGGGTCAAATAAGAGCAGTTAGACATATTTGCATCCCAGCGTCCGGATAATTTGCTTATCATTCCTTTGCAATAATCCTCCCTCCCTCAGTGAGTCTTGGGCTCTAGGTTCAGAGGTTAGTGAGGAATACAGGACCCTGTCGGGGTCCCCAACCTGTTCCTACACCCATCAGAAGCCTGGGGCGGAGGAACAAGTGAGACCAGAGCTGTGCACCCCACCCCACCCCCGCACTATCTGCTTCTTCCCGGAGTCCTCAAAAGGGGCGGAATAAAGGAGGTCCCAGCCCCTGGCCCCCTCATCCCGTCCCGCTCCCGACCTTGGGCGCCCAGAGGCGGCGGCCGCGCGGGCCGCCCTTCCCAGGCGCGACGGGTCCCTCCGGCCCCGACTGGGCCTGCTCCGGCCTCCCTTCCCGCCGGGCTCTTTTCCCGTTGGCCGGATAGAGCCGGCCGCGGAGCGCGGGGCGGGCGCCGGGATCGCCCGTTGCAGCCCCGCTTCCGCCGGGCGGCAGAGACCGGTCTGCCCCGGCGCTCGCTGCGCGCTCTGCAATGGCTACGGCCCCAGCCTCTAGGTGAGAAGACCAAGCGGGGGGCCCGGGAATTTCCGTTCCGCCCCGAGTCCGGGTGCCCCCTCCAAAGTCTCAGCAGGCGCGCGGGGAACCGAGGCTGCGGCGGCCCGAGAGGGCCCGGCGGGGTGGGGCGGGCTCTGCGCGGCTCCCACGCTGCCGGGCGCCGCCGCTAGGGTGACGAGCCGGGGTAGGATCTACCAGTGGAGTCGGGATCTTCGGTTTCTGGAGGAGGAGATACTTTTCTGGAACTTGAAGGCCTCAGTTAGGTGACCGCCTCTCCACACACATACACACAACCCGTTCCCCTACCAACCACTTACGCATGCCCCCAACGTCAGAGACCTGCCCAGAGCAGACGGTAGGGGGCAAAGGTCTGAGAAACTAGGCTAGACCTAGCCCAGATTTAGTGAGCAAAGAATTAAGTCTTGAACCCAGACCCAGTACCTACCCTGTGTACACACCTGTCTTTACTTAAAATGTTGATGTTTTATTCATCATGGATTTTTTGCATTAACTTGGATTTTAAAACATTGTATTAAAATTTATCTTTATTACTGAGTTTTCTGGCACCCCCTTAAATTTTGCATCTCAGGCAAGTTCCTCACTAGCCTCTCCCTAGTCCCAACCTTGCCACAAGACCATGGAGATATAGTCACAAACATGACTGAGAACATAGACAGTCATGAGACGAGTGCTGGTGACAAATCCCCAGGCCAAGCAAACATGCTTCCAGCAAACATAGATGGCTTGTTGGTGACAACTGAGAGGACACAGGCCCAAGGGGGATAGGACTGCCTGTGGCATGGGAAGGCATGCCTGGGGCCTGAGAGGGGAAGGAGGGAGTCTGGGGCAAATCATAGTCCCAAATAGGGTGGGGAGCAGGGGTGCAGATAGACCAGCCCTTCCCACTCCACCCCACCCCCGTAGCAGGAACCTGAGGGACCCTAGGGAGGAAGAGATCCATAAGACTGGGCTGAGGGTGAAGAGAACTGGCTGGGCCTGTCTAGAAAAACTCTGGACACAGGCCTGTGTGAGTTGGGGCTCCTGGGGCTGTCCACAAGAAGGCCCTGGCACCCAGCAACTATCTCTGCCTGGGAAGGTGGCTCTGGAGGGAATGGTGTAGGAGCTGGCTGGGGCCCAGGCAGGGTGAATGCCAGATGGGCTTCTCTCCAACAATAACAGCCCTGTCTGCTGCCACATGCTGAGCAGCCAGGCCCCCGCAGGGTGGGGAGAGGAGAGGAACCAGCCCTCCCCAGTCTGGCCTGGGATCCTCACCACTTCCCTCCAGTTTCCATCCATTCCTAGCCCCCTTTGCAAACCACTGCAGCCACTGGCGCCTGGTGGGTCTGTCTGACCACTAGGCCTGCCACCCCCACAGGCCCAGAAACCCGGAAAGCAAGGCGGGGAGAGAGGCAGGGGGCCAAGGAAAAGGGGAGATGAGGACTAGGAGAGGAAGAGAGAGAGAGACTGGATAAACACGAGGGCAGGAATCCGGGGGTTGTGGACAGACATGAAGCCACTCTCAAGACATGGGGCAGTGCCTAGAAAAATACCACTCAAACCCATCTTCCTGCCCTGTTTGCTTAGGGCTGAGGAAGGATGTGTGTCATCTCTGTGGGGTGTGGAGCCAAAGGCTGGGGACACCACTTCTGGAGTAGCTTCTGGTAGGGAGCCAACTGATCCTGAATAGAAAATCTACCTCTCTCCTCAGGGCCCATTTCACTTCTCTGTGGAGAGGGTGTGACTCTGACTTCTCCCTGTGATGTTAGTACTGCTAACTGTTAATTAGTGTCTGTGGCTTCTCTAGGGAACAGGTCCCTAAGGTAGTTGGGGGTGGGTAGGATTGGATTTTCTCTCCTCAGGACCTCTCCAGCCTGAGTACTGCTGTAGGGGCAGTGAGCGACACCCTTCCCCATCTACTGCCCCCCAAAAGAGGGAATCCTTCCCCCTACCTTGGAGGTACATAATGGACCAACCTCCTCAGCATGCCCACCCCCTCCTCCTCTACCAGAGGAGGATGTGGAGCTAGATCAGCAAGGCTTCCACCTCAGGGATATCTCCTATCTGGGACAATAGGATTCATTCAGGATGTAAGGCTGTGCCTGGCTTTTTCTCTTCCCATCCCGAGTTATGCCTCAGTTTAACAAAGTGCTGGATTTAGAAAGGGTGAAACATGAGGGGGCTGCAGGGTGTGCCTCTTCCCCCCTTCACACACAGAGTCACACCCCTCCCCCCAAGTCAAAGTTGTGGGTGTTGTGGTGCTTGTGCAGCTGTGGCCAGTAGGGTAGTGTCAGAAGTGGGGAAACCCACCATGCAGGTCACAGAACAGTTAAGTCGAGGGCGGGGGTGGGGGGGAAATCCCACCAGGGGATGGGGGGTAGGGGACAGAAACAGTCTTGAAGGAAGAGAAAAGGAGTAGGGGTTTTGAAAGGAAGAAGGTGGCATTGAAGGAGGGGACCCCTGGAAAGAAAAAAAGTGCAGTGTGGAGGATAGTGGCGTGGGCGGGGCTTGGGAGAGAGAAGGGATCATCTAAGGTGGAGCGTGCACGGGGGGAAGGGGGACGTCGGGCCTGTCAGAGCAGAGGGTCTGTGGATGGGAGAGTCCTGATGGATGGATCCTGGGAGTTTACGTAACCCCAGCGCGGAGGAGACTAGGGGTACCCATGTGGGTCTGTACCATCCAGTATCCTGAGCCCCATGATGGGCAGGGTTTGGTGTGGCAGGGCCCAAAGATGTCCTATATCTACAGAAATAACGCGACCAGGCGGCCCTAGGGCCGCAGTGTCGGGGGATGGAGGTCCCAGAGCGCCCGGAGCTGCTGTGGGAGGGGCCGGGGGCGGTGCTGCGGGCGCGCGGGAGGGGGCGGGGGGCGGGCCCAGCGGAGGGCGCGTTTGAATGTGCTCGGGCGGGCGCGGGAAGCTGCCGAGAGAGCGTGCGGATCTCAGCCCCGGAGGAATACGTCCTCAGGAGGTGCTGCCGGGGTTCGGGGTCGGGCTGGGGACTGCCGGGGCGGAAGGTCCCACTTCCCGCTTGCCACGAGGGCAGGAAGGTCCGGCCTGACAGCTCCGCGGCCTGGAGCGGGGACGCCGGGCGGGGCCCCCGCTTTCCCCGCACCGAGCGTGCGGAGCCGCGTAGCACGTGGCGCGCAGGGGCCAGAGCGCTGGGGGACCCCGGGGGACCAGGACCAGAGCGGAGCGTGGGCGGCCTGGCTCCCGGGCCTAGAAGCGGCTGTCTGCACGCCGACCTCCACAAGGGGCAGGCGAGTGGTCAGTTTATCCCGGTAGATCTTGTTATTGGCAGAGGGGAGGGGCCGCGCCACTGACTGCGCTGGGTGAGGGGGATGGGGTGGAGGGACGCGCATGGAGGTGGGGAGCTGTCTCTTTAAGCCCTGTCTTTTTACTGACTCGTGTCCCTGGCCTCCCCATCTTGGGCGCGTCCTCATTTACTCATTTACTATTAATCTGAGTGAAAGGACAAGGAGCCACACCCCAAGTTTTCTTACCAGAGTAGAGCGACGGTGAGTGAAGGCTTGTTCCACCCCTGCCTCTCGCCCTTCTCCGGGCCTCTCCAAACCTGTAGCCGCCCCTTTGCCCACTCTTCTCGATAACATCCAGACCCTTCGACTTGTCCTCCTGTCTGTGTGAACTCTCCGTGCCAAGGACGTGTGTGCGACGGGGTGGGGGGGAGGGGGTGCCTTACCCCTGACACTCATGTCAGGCTGGGAATAATCTTGGCCCCCACCTTATTTTTTCCCTTTAGTTGGAGCAGAGTTCCCCCCACTTTCTAGGCTACAGGGCTAGCTGGGAAGCAGCCTGTATACCACCTCCCCCATAAGAAGAAGCCTAGAATAAGCTGTACATTGAGTTTGAATTCGGGCTCCCCGCCCGACTCATTAGCTCTGTGACCTTAGGCAAGTGACTCAACCATTCTGAACCTCAGCTGGCCCCATCTGTTCATTGGAAACAATCTAGTATTAGTTTATGGGTGGTTGTGAGGTAAAGAGGGGGGATCTGCAGGGAGTGGCTGGCCCCATATGGCATCCTGGGGAGTAGAGACTTTGATGCTATTGCAAGGAGGCTTAGAAACTGGAGTGCATAAGAGGTGTTGGTGGCCTGGGGTCAAGGAGTACTCAATTTGGTCGCTACTTTCGGGGCCCCATGTCAGCAAGCCAAGGCATGGCTGGAGGGACACCAGATGCTCTGAGCTGGTATCAGACCCCTGGTTACTGCTGGGCAAAGGCAGACAAGAAGAAAATGCTTAGGGTGGCAGCTGAATTTAGGATGTGGGAAGGAGGAGGGGGCTGCCCATGGAGTTGAATTGTGCCCAGGCCTGGGGTGGAGACTGCTGAGAACACAGAGAGCAGAGGGCTAACTGGGGAGAGGGAAGACATAAATATTTATCTATTCTCTAAGTCTGAGCCAGTTTTACTGAAGGGAAAGGGACTAGACTCTCCATCCCAGTCTCCTACTGGTTTGAACGCACCTGCACTTAACTGCCCGGGAACCTTGCCTGTGGGAGTGTAGGGTGGGTTGGATCCCCTCCTTACTACTGAATAGAAAACCTGAGACCTGAGCCTTCTCTCCCACCCCACCCCAGCAGAGCCCTCTTGCCCCCATCCCTCCAGAAAATGTAAATACTGTGGTTCATCACTGTGTTCAGGGCCTAGAACAGTGCCTGGCTAGCATGAAGAGGTCCTCAGTAAATATTTGTAGAAAGGATGATTGAAAGAAGCCCTTTGCTTCCATATGGAGGTGTGTGGTTCTGCTCCTCCCTTTCCTGCCCCACCCAGGTGTGGGTTGGGGGGCTGAGGAAGACCTTTGGAGAGTGGAGTTTACCTAGGGCAGATTGAGGGGTGGAAAAGCCCATTGAGGATCTCAAGGTGCCCAGCTTTGTCTGTCTCCGGAGCATGGGCTGTACCTGTGAGACAGATGCAGTGCCTCAGCTCCCCTGCTGAGACTCCTTGCTGTCTTATCTCCCGAGCTACAGGGGTGGATTTTTATCTCCTAGTGGTTGTGAAGCTTCTCAGAATGGGGCTCTATGAGGCCTGATATGCCATGTGCCACCATTTCCATTCTGGACTCTCACCCAGGAGCCTGTGGACAAGGCCTCCCAGACCCTGAGCTAGGGCCAGCCACCTCATAGGGACTGTCCAGGCCCCCTCTGCTCCGACCCTTCTGCTGGCCAGTCTGGGCATCTGGTGAGTACCAGGACAGGAAGGGTGGTGAAGACTGTCCACATAGCCCAAACAGTGAGGGGTCCCAGAATTAGGCCCACGTGTGCAGGATGTGCCCATGCATGCATGCCTGGCTTCCCCTGCCATCAACAAGAAAGCTGTTTCATCTGCTACACAAGTGAGGAGCAGGAGAGGGACACTGAAGGGGGGCTAGGAGCTTTGGGACTACACAGTTAGGGCATAGGCTTCCATTTTTCCCTTCAGGGACCCTCAGAAAGGGGAAGAGGACAGGAGCCTGGGGCTGAGTCAAAGCGTAACTAAGGGGGAATGAAGTGACCCTAAGGCCAGGACTGGAGGTTGGAGGAAGGGTCAAGCTAGGCCATGGGAAGGGCTGTGTCCTCACGTGCATGGTGAAATATTTTCCTGGAAAACTGGCCAGGAACTAGGAAGCCTGTGGGCAGTGGCTGGAAACAAAGAAAGGTTAAGGTAACACCAGCAGAGAGGCTGGAGTCTGGGGTGCCTCCAGGAGGGGACAGGCTTTCCAGAACCCACCCTAGCCGGGAATCCAGGGGCTCCCCAGGGCAGGTGGAGAGATCCAACTTGGCAGAGAAGGACTGAAGAGGCCTCTCTGGCTTGGCTGCAGTCATTGTCCCTGTTGTCGCTGCTCCTGCAGATGTGCTTGCTTCCTGCCCTCCCTCCTGTCCTCCCCCTTACCCTTTGCTCTGTCTCCTCCACTTTGTTTTTCTCCTCCTGGTCCTCCCATTGTCTTCACTGTCCCTGACCCCTCTTGTCCTCTTCCCTGGCTTCTTTGACTGTCTTTCCCTCCCTCTCAGTCATACTTCCTCCTCCTTCCCTCCTGCTCTCCACCCTGTCCTGTTTCCCAGCTTCTAAACTGCTTCGGCTGCTGGATAAAAATAGCGGTGGCAGCGGCCAGGCCGGGAGCCAAATAGTATCTTAGCAGGCCTTGGGAACCCAATAGGACTTGCATGCTGGGCCAGGGGCTCAAGTTGAGTGGTCCTGAGGGGCAGGGCCCAGAGGGGTCCTGCTGGACTCTTGAGTTTGCCTGCTCTGTCTGTCCTGCCCCCATTGCCCCTCAAGAGTCTAAGGACGCCTGTGGGGAACCAGGGCCTCATACTGCCTCTGCCCCCAGCAAGCGCCAGAGGGAGGGAGCTATCAACCAGACAAAACCAAGAACACCGTCACCATGACAACCAGTCACCAGCCTCAGGACAGGTACGGACAGAGGGAGGGATGGAGGGACGGAGAGGGCATACCTGGGCTGGGGATCCAGAGAATGCGTCTCCAGGGGTCTGGGTGCAATGTCCTTTGGAATTTGAGGTTGCCACTGCTGCTGGCTTTCCAGCCAGGTAGGTATGAGTCAGGTCTGCGGCAGGGGTGGGGACCAAGCATGCCTTGGCTGGGTGCTGGCTGGGGTGTCTGCATGCAGGACCAGTGTGGGTGGGCAGCAGTCCCTCCCTGGCCTGTCAGTGTTTCCACTGTTGCGCTCCAGCCAATTTGCAGCTTCCGGCTCCTCCTGCCATCACTGTGGGGAAACACTTGACAGCGCCCCTCATTCCAGAGCACATCTGGTGGAACTGCCCTCTCCTTCAGGGCTGCCCTGGGGCCTTTGCCTCAGAAAACCCTGTCCCACCCCGGTCTGTGATCTGACCTTCCTCTTACTTACCCCACCTCTGGAGCTTCTAAACTTCCTCAAGGAAGACTTGGAATTATGATTGTGATCATGTGTTTGGAGGAAGAGGCTGTAGCTTAATTCATCTTCTCCAAGGGGTCTGGGACCCAGGAAAGTTAGGAAGTAATGTCTGGGGTCCAAAACTCTTCCTAGATGTCACGCTCTGTCCTTCTCTCCGACTTTGGCCTCTGAACCTCTCACATCTCCCCTGTCCACCCCATCTCCCTCCTGTGCCAGAGGCTACGGAACTAGGCCACTTCCAGCTGTGTTGCCTTGAGCACTTAGCTTGATCTCTAATGATCTCTGGGACCATTCCCCCACCTGTAAAATAGAGGTGAGAATATCTACTCTGCAGAGATTTATTTCGGGGGGGGGGGGGGGAATTGAAGGGGGCATAGTAAGTTCAGGCCCAGGGGGTTCCCTGCCTATTCGCCTCCATCCCCAGGCGACCTGCTGGCACCCCCCCCCCCCCCCAAAAAAAATCTGCACAGGAG